TACGTCGTTCGTTAGTTCTATCTTTTAACACAGAACTTAAGAACGACGTAGCATTAAGAACGCTTCTGGAAACTCACCCCAGAAGCTTATTTTCATTCTTCTTTTTACTGCCCGTTTACCTTTTCTGGGTGGAACCTTCAGGCACTTCTTTAATTTAATGTTGTCACGTACCATTCTGATGTATGTATCTGCTTCGGAAAGGACTTTATTACAGTTTTATTACTGTCATCTGAGCTGTTTCCGCACTGAGTCTGCTCTCTTGCTTTCCCCCCCATTCTAGAGGGATTTGACGAACTTGCCCTTGTGTCAGTGCATGCATGTGGCGAGGCACTTGTACACCATACCTTCACACGATCGTTTAGGTCTGTCGCGCTGTGGTCGTGGGGGGAGTGACTTAGTGTTTGAAGATCTGTGAAATGAGCTGCGCTCAGTGTCTGATGTGTGTGTATGTGTGTGTGTATGTGTTTTTCCCCCCTGTTGTCCTCCTCTGAGGGTTTCGAGTTGTGCACTTCTGCCGTAAGAAAATGAGGAACCTTCTGCTGGCTATGAATGGAGAGTGGAAGGCCGATTAATTAACTTGTTGGTGAGAGACTGCACCTATGCAATGACCTTTATGTAGTTGCATCCTCCGTGCACATTTTGGGTGCCACCTGTAACATGTCCGTCTTCTTATCGGGGGTCTTGCTGTATCGACAGACCAGGCAGGAAGTGGGGCAGCTCAGACGGGGTGACTGAAGTGCAGAAATGAGCAGAATCAGAATTCTGCCTCCCGGGGGAGCAGTTCCTTGAATTGCCTCTATTATTAGTGTCTGACATGAACGTGACGGCGACGTGGAGCCTGGAGGGTGCATCGGCCTTGAGGGTCCCGTAAACTCGGCCAGAGCAGTAAGCTGTGACCGGAAGGTCACCGGCTCAAATCCCAGAGTTGGCAGAGTGTTTTCACCATACTGCCAGTGAACAAGGTCCTTAACCCCCAGTTGCTCCTGAGACTGTCTGACACGGCTTTCTTAAAAATGTGTGTAAAAGCATCTGTTAAATAATATAATGGATCCGTCTCTGAAACAGGTCAATTTTCCTCTGGTTTTGTCAGTGCCTGTGCTGCTCATGGGTATTTTTTTTACGTTCGTAACCATGGCAAGGGAGTCGCATTGAGTGTTGTTCCCAGGGAGCGACTTGTGTCTTCAAGGGGAGTGGGCGATGACCCCCAGTTAGGTGAGGCTTACGGCTTTAGCCGCTCCCGTGCCTCAGGTACCTCCTAATCGGAGATACGTGATGAGTCAGCAGTGTAAGAGTTTCCCGGTCGGGCTCTACGCTGAAACCGGTTTTTCGCATGGTGTCGGGTCACAATGGGCAGAAGACTCATCGCAAGAGGCAGGATGGCGCCATAAGTCCGATCCGATGTTGTAACACAAGGAACCGACTGGGACTCAGATGTGTCAAGAAACACACAAGGCACTGTGCAGTATTTCACCTGTGCAAAGAAAACATTTATTTTAGAGAGCGTTCATTTCAAACCCTTTTTTGACACTAGAGGGTGGCATTGCCATATAATTTGTAACAGTCCCACTTCAGACTAAGAATTTGTTTGTATATTCACTTAAAATTGTGCTGTTAAACTATGGTTCTGGCAGGTCAATTCCCCTGATTTTAATTTGACAGAATGAATGTTTTGTATCGATTTGAACTGTGGTAATTTGCGGTATCAGCATGTCGGCTTCTTTAAGAATTGTCACGGTGTGACTTCTGCAAACGTTTGACTTGTTATTGCTTGTTACCAGGCACTGTCTGGGTCTGGTGCCTCTTGTGAATTTGTGAATACTATGTGCCTCTGTCACCGCATGTGCGTAAGTGTGTGAGCACGGCTCTCTCTCTGTGTTTGTGCCTCCTCATGTATGTGCCTGTGTGTGTCTGTCTCCTTTTGTGTGTGTGTGTGTGTGTGTGTGTGTGTGTGCGTGTGTCTGTGCCCCCCTGTGTGTCTGTGTGTCTATGACCCCCCCCTGTGTGTGTGTGTGTGTGTGTGTGTCTGTGTGTCTGTGCCCCCCTGTGTGTCTGTGTGTCTATGACCCCCCCCTGTGTGTGTGTGTGTGTGTGTGTGTCTGTGTGTCTGTGCCCC